ATGTGGTCCGTCACGTCGTGGCTGAGTTTCTGTTGTTCCTAAACGCTTCCACTTTGCAATAATAACACTTACGGCTGACCGTGGAATATCTAGCAGGAAGGAAATCTAACAAGCTGACTCATTGCATAGGTGGCATCCTATGACGGTACCACACTAGAATTCACTGAGCTCTTCAGAACGACCCATTCTTTCACAAATATTTGTAAACCTGACTGCACAGCTCTGTGCTTGATTTTATAAACCTGTGGTAATGAGTCTGAATGAAACACCTGAATTCAGTGATTCAGAGATGTGTCCCAATACTTTTGTCCATATAGTGTATCATTGAGTAATAATAAGGTTGGTCTCTCTGTATGAATAATGATTCCTCTTATGACCCCCCACCTCAATAAATCCCAGAAACGCCAGCTTGAGTATGAGGTACAGTAAGAGGTGCTGGTTCTGTGTGTCTCTCTCTGCTGGGGAAAACGCAGGCGTCTAGCAGGCTGGTTTGGTGAAATGCCGACTGAATCTCCAACATTTGTCATTCCAGCCATTAAACGAGGGTCCCTGGGAAAGTCTGGCCCTCTTTGAGCTCAGAATGAAATTTCAGGTTAAATAACCCAGGAATAGTTTGCCCTGGAGCGGCAGTTGTGATTTTTATTTAATTTTCGGACATCTTCGAAAACAGCCGCAGGTCATGTGGTCCGTCTGTCTGCAGATGACTGAAGAGCCTCTCCCTTCCGGAAGAAACAAGAGCAGCCCCCAACCTGGAAGTGGGGCCTTGAGGCGCGCCTGTCGAAAACGCCGCATTTCTTCTGCGTACTGTACATTTCCCCAGTCTCAGATTTATATGGCACTGCACTGGAATCAGCACTGGTGCTGATCTTCACAGAATCCTACATGAATACAGTGCACAATCTGTACGTATGTCCTCAAAATGGGCAAAACATGTTTCAGGTGTGATTAATGGTAATTAAAGATAAATATAAAAAAATTATTTGACTTTTCTTTTTATTTTTGTTTCAGTTAGTTTCAGAAGCAATATTTATAGTTTAATTTGTAGTTTTTTCTTTTGTTTTCATATCTGATTTTATTTCACTATAGGAAAATGTTTGTTGTTTTAGTTTTGTTAACCATAATAACCCTGGCTGGTACTTTGGAGCAGACCTTGAATGCATAAAATTATATGTAAAATTAGGCAGGGGGCCCAAGGTGACATTTTGTCAGGGGGCCCACAATTTCTAGATAGCAGTGAGGTACAAGGACAAGGGCCACCGTCAGCACAATCCGGGTCCTAGTAAAGCAGGTATCACCAAGATTAGCCAGTTTAATCGGCAGACCCGGGAAGATCTCCCTCTGCCAGCTCTGCACGCAGGGCACACCCTGATATGCCATCCCCCCTAAGCCATCCCCAACTTTCTTTCCCTCCTGGAGACCATCTCCCTGGCCCACACTGGGGAAACAAGTGTGTGGCCACAGCGAGGACATTGCGCCACACTGCGGAAATCCAGGGCCTTGTGGTCACAGCGATCTGGATGAATAGGCCATTTAACCTGTTAAAGGAAGGGCACAATGAATCTTTTCATCATGGCCCTGCTTGCTGAAGCCAGGAGAAGATAGAAGGAGATAGAGGCAGTGAGAGAGAGCAGGAGAGATGGTTTTGCATGCAAATTCGTTTAGAATTCGTCCACGCTCAGCTTCCCAAATGTCATCCAATCCGTTGATCTAGATCCAGTTTTCAATAGAATCCTACTTGATGCTTCCCAGCTCCTTCCAGAGAAGGACTGTCAGTAATGTTACTGCCAGGACTGCAGGGCTGTGTGCCCGGTGTTCAGATGACCTGAGAACATACCTTGGCCAAGCCAATGAAGCTACAATCCACGCCCGGCCATGAGGGGGAACGTTATAACGTCCATGATCTCCATAGGATGAAAGCAAACTCAGTTGGGCCACCATTAGTCAAACAGGGCTCACACTCTAGCTAAATTTAGTCCTCTAGTAGGGTCATACATGAGCTAATGAACTCAACAGGGGGGCTTAAACTTAACTGCCACATTCTCCTTTTCTTAAATGGACCTGTCTGGATTTTGGCACTACTAAATAGAAATATTCCAAGGTGTTTATCTCTGTAATGACTCTTTGTGACTTTTGTCCCACGCTAGTTCCTCACTGGTTTTATTTAGATGCTGACTTGTCAGTAGAGGTCACTGTGATGTCTTCCAACTAACCCCATGACTGATGTTATACATCTACATTTGGCACAGTAGTTCAGTTGTCATCCACGGTATCGTAACACGTTCAAAGTGCCCAAAAAAACACAGCCACTTGTTCCTGGGATAGAGAGCGCTCTGGGTCAGGTTTATAAGTGGCAATGCCTGGATTTTAAGCTGATGTTTTGGTTGTGCTGCCAGGTGAATTGGACACTAACCTCAGGCGAAAATTTCATGGTTCATACTCATAGACCAAAACTGTTTACTTCCTGTAGCGGTTAGCACTGCGGTCTGCATTGCTGGAAATGTCACGGATACAGGCTCGCATCGCATGAAAATCACAAAGGAGGTTTTTGGACAGAGCTTATAAATCACTGGCAGAGTCTCATGAGTGTAAAAAATCCTTGTGGCCTCTTTATGAGCTGTCCCCAAAGGACCCATTATAGTGTTAAGCCTTCCTTAAATTAATTTAATCTTTATTTAGCCTTAAAGAAGGTGGTGCTGCAGCCCTATCACCTTGGCCGCACCATATGGCCCTTTCTGCAGTCTCTGTTAGAAATGCTAACGCAGAATATGTGCAGTGACAAGCTCATGCGTCCAGGATTGAGAGTATGAATCCTGCCCCAATTCTGTGTGTGTGTGCAGTACACTGTGCATCTCCGCCCTGTGCTTGTGTGGGTTTCCTCTGGGTACTCCTGTTTCCCTTCCCTGTCCAAAAAACATGTGTTTGGGTCACCTGGCATCTGTAATTTGCCCACAGGTTGTTTTTTTTTTTTGTGCCCCGTTAGACTGGCATCATGTTCAGGGTGTATCTCTGTGCTTCCTGGCAATAGGTTCCATGCTCACCTTTACCTTCAATAAATAGTTTCAAAAAATGGTTGGTATGTAAGACCCTGGGCTGTTAATGAAACTGTCTAACCACTTGTTATGAATTTGTGATGGATGGAAAGGAGATGTTTATTACTGGGAATGTGTGCAATTAGTGGTGTGAGTCTGGAAGCCTTTTCCATGACAGAAAGCCTCAAAAATCCCCTAAAATATCATAAGGAACTCAAAGGAAAGTGATGGAAGCCTGAAAACTAAATCTGTAACCAAAGCTTGATGAAAGCTGTGTCTCCTGTAATACTGAAAGCAACCAGAAGGGGGATACAAGAACCTACAGGCAATGCCATTTTTGGACCAGTGGGTCAAGGATTTAAAAAAGAAATACCTGCGGGATGTGACATGCTGTCCCTTCTTCCCAGAAACCACACAGTGAAGGGTCAGGTGGAGATACTGTGCCCATTGGCATTCCCATGATGCACCACTCTTCGTTTGCAGGGGCCGGCTTCCTTCAGGACAAGCTCACTTTATGTGGCCTTTATCCATAGCAGTTGTTTTCATGAGGCTATAACTTCCTGACCACAGGAGAGTGCCATAAATTAAGTAGCATCCATGTTGGAAAAATGCTAGAACATTCTTTCAGAAGTGTTTGGTGCCGCGATGTCACATCTTATCAGGGCCGTGCTGAAAATATATGGAAGGGCAACCACTTCTGCTGCTGCTTCACTGACTTTACACTTGAGGTCTAGTTAAGGGCAACTCGGACATCATTGGCTAAGAACTCTAATAGAAAGTGTCAATAAAGATAAGCACTTTTGCTAAAAACATTTTGCTAAAGACGTTTTTTTTTTTGTTTATTGCTTAAGGATTTGACAGATATGAAAATTTGATTATATAATTTAAAAGGCATGATAAGACTTTGTTGATTTTTTTTTTTCTGAGGTAATCTAAGTGTACTTAATCATAAGATGGTACTTGTAACACATTTCAAAAATTGCATATGTCAAGAATCCGGCTTTCATTGTTATATCTGAGCACTGCTCATAAATTTTAGTTAGACACTTCAGTCAATGAAATGTGAGGAGATATGAAGAGTGGGGAGATAAAGATTTTTAACGGTGATGATATTGAACAGGTATCATCTCAGCTCGATGTGAAGCGCTGTCATCCTTCGAAGGAATCTCAACCCGCCAAATCCCTCACTCACTTCATGTGACAGGGGCGGGGGCGGAGGGGGGGGGGGGGGTTAATTTCCAGCAGCTACATTAAATCAAGCAAGGGTTCGTGCCCAGACAAAAGACCGCGAGAAGCACAAGTGAAAAAAGAGATAACGTATTGAAAAACCGATATTTCATTACTGACGATATTATGTGCATCAGTAATACTTTCTTTCACACCTTGTGAAAGATAAGGTGAAATAAACCCCGTCTCGAGAATTTAATTAGTTCTTCCAGTGACTGAATCGTAACAGAGGACACAATCTCCTTCTGAACTTGTGCATCAAACAAGCATGTAATCACATCAGCCTCCAGTACACACCCATCACAGACTTCACAATCAGACGTCCCTGTCGTTGGACATTGGAGTTACAGGAACTCATTGAATCAAAAAATTATTTTAATATTATACGAGTTCTATGGATGTTCCTTTAGCTAGACAGGATATTGTAGATATGAAAGATGATGCAGTATTATTAGATTTTAAAAGAATTACCATTACCAATGTGGCAAGAAAAAAAAGTTTTCACAGTGACATCTGTCAGAGACTAAGGAAGATTCAACAGCGTTTGTGAAAGACACCTTCTGAGTAGAGGGTCAGCTGACAATCAAAGGACAAATCCGAGGTTAACAAGGTTCACTGATACCATAAAGGAAAACTCTATGTTTATTATATAACGTACATAAACTAAAAGGCCCGATTCTGCATTTTTATGGCACCACCAAAAAAAAAAACATACAGTACAGTATATAAGCAATACAGTACAGAAATAGAATATAAAATTGTGAAATAGATTTTGTAAATATAATTGTCTATAAAAAATTAGTATTTTGATTCCTGGTTCTCGCTTGGTTAGATGAAAGCCTGGTAGAGCCAGCAAAGGTTTTTTTGTGAAGTTAAGGGACTTTCCATGTATCTCATCAGCCACAACATCATTGGTATGAAGACAGGCGCAGACAGGACCTGAACTGCTGCAGGAGACAAATATGCTGTGACATAAATAGGTCTTTAAACATCTAGCCATGTAAATCAAATTCCGAGGAGATGTCTGAAAAGGTGGAGCCTATGACACATGCCAGGCTCATCTAACTGGTACAGTACTTGGCAAACCATTTTGTAGGGAACTGTGCTGTGGGACATTTCATCAGGGTTTATAACAACCCTTGAGTTGGGTTTGATGTTTCTCCCATAGTTTCCATTAGCACACTTGCTAACAACCTTACAGTTGGGTTTAATATGTCTCTCTGATCCTCACCTGTACTGCTGCTACATATGTATAGTTGAAATTGCCTTTCCCACAGCCAACAGGAATGATACTTTATTAATCCCCATGGGGAAATTGTCTTTACACCTCCCTCAACTTGCTCTTTGTAGAGTAAGCTGTCTGGGAAGGGCTGCCAGGGAGCTAGGGGTTAAGGGCCTTGCTCAAGGACCCACAGACGTGCTGAAGCTGGGTTTGAACTGGCAACCTTGTGATTATGGGCATGCAGGCTTAGCCCCCCACACTGCAACTACGCTGAATAACCTCTACACACCAAAACAAGGCAGCATTTTAAAGGATGAGCCCTGGAATTTGTGCTTTCATTTCTGCTATTAAGTCCCTTGGTTCCATACCCTAATAATCCTTTATGTGAACATCTGGAACAAAACTTTATCTTCATTTATCACCACCGCCTTGGTGTTATTATGGTACATGTATTAGCTTTACCATGAAAGCAATTTAGAACTGCCCACATCAGCAAATAATTTAATAAATAATGATGAACGGCGTGGTTATACAGAGCATTCAGTTACATCTAACACAAGCACATAAGCACACACGCTGCATTCAGGTGATATTAAAAAAAACTTTCTGATGGAATACTGGTGTGGGTAATAACAATAATAATAATAATAATAAGCAATTTAACTAATAAGTTAGTAAGTTACATTTCTGAATACTCACTTTGAACCTCTGCTACCATAAGACTCTCTGAAATATTAAAAGATTTCCGGTGTAATTATTTACGAACTGGTCTGCTTAATTACCCTCCAGTAAGATGGAATCTCCTCTAGCAATTTTATTTCCAATCTAATTTTTCTGTCGCATTTTAATTTTTCCCACCTCAGAAGACTCTTCTCTAAAGTGCATTTATAAAAATGAGCGACATCAATTAAATTTGATATTCAATTCTTTCTATGCATAGCAATTAAGTACTTGACCATAAAAAAAATGTTATCATAAAAGCACTTTCTGCAGCTTACGATAGTCCGTAAGGTCACGCCTACGTCTGTAACTCCCAAAGCAGCTTGTGGCTCCTGCAAACATATCACAGCGACTTCAGGTAATTATAGAGAGCATCAAGTCCTCCCTTCAGACTCTCTTTTATTGGTTTTGACAGTGGGTTGTGCATGATGTGCAAACCCTTGTCTACAGGATGGCAGGCCAGTCTCTCCAAGTTCTTCAGAAGGTACATTTCCACTGGGATGTTCTCGATCTTGTTGAAGTCCACATTAAGCAGCTCCAGCGAATCCAAAAAGCAAAGGGATTTGGGAAGGATGCGGATGGAGTTTCCCTCCAGAATGAGGGTCTTGAGGTTGACCAGAACCTGGATCTGGTCGGCGACGTTCTCCAACCGATTGTAGGCCAGGTGCAAGAAGACCAGGTCCTGCATCCCGTAGACGCAGCAGGGGATGTAGACGATGCAGTTGTGGCTGAGGTTGAGCTTCCTCAGCCGCGTCAAGCCGGCCAGGCTCCCAGGAAGGCTCGATATCTGGTTGTCTTCCAGGCTGAGCACCTCCAGCTTGGTGCATTCGGCCAGCTCCTCCGGGACCTCTGTCAGCCGGTTGTAGGAGACGAAGAGGACGCGCAGGTTGGCCAGGCGCCCAATCTCAGGGGGCAGGCTGTCCAGCTGGTTCCCCCACAGGTTCAGTACAACCAGGCTCTGCAGGCGGCTGATGGCGGGGGGTAGGGAACGCAGCCGATTCAGGGATAGGTTCAGCTTCTCCAGCTTGGACAGCTCCCACAGCTCGTCGGGGACTTTAGGCAGACGGCGCGTTGCCATGCTGAGGACGGTGGCATTCCTGCGGATCCTGTCCAATGATGAAGGCGCCTCCTCCAGATCCTCATTTCTCCTCGATTCCCTCGACCCCTTTGCTCCCATGTTTCTCACGGTAGCTTCCCAGAATCCCAGTCTGCAGCGGTTCAGCCTTGGCAGTGGCAGAGTCAGCTAGGGGAGCTTTTCTGGCCGCTACCCTGGCCGCCCCTACCAGAGAAACCTGTGGGAGGCCTGCAGGAGATCCCGCCTGAGCCGTAGCCAGAGGAGCTGGAGCGGGTGTCACTGCCGCCACCTGTCACTGTCACTTCGGGCCGTATCCGCGGCAGCGCCTAACCCCAGGTCGCGGGCGATAAGGGCGCCAGAAGTTTCCACTGCAGCTGCTGGGCGATCAAACACTCTTAAATCTCCCCCGGCTTTGGTCATTTAATCCCGTAATAAGCGTATATTTTCAAATTATTAATTAAATAATTTGCGGGGAAAATGAAACGTATACGAGACACGTTCAAAGTTATTGTACTTTATGTGTATAATTTTAGCACGGAGTGTAATAAGGAAAAACAAATGTCAAGCTCTGAATTTAATTAAAAGTGCATTAAGGCTTAAGTCTTACATGATGCGGGTAGCAACTTAAAATGTTTGTTAGAGAAGCGCTTTTTTATTTAGTTACTGCAGCTGACAAGTGTTGAACCCTGTTTTAAACTTAGAATATCAAGCGCATTTTAAAAGAAACTTTACTCTTGCACGTTTGCTCGGTTTTCAGTCGTTATTTCACACATCTGTCCAGCGGGAAAATACACTCATCCAAACCTAAAACGATTCTCAGGTTTGGGGAAAAGGTGCCTGGAAAAAAAGAGATGAAGTGGCTTCAAGTAGCTTGCTGTCGGACAGGGAAAGCATCGGGCAGCTCGGGTCCCCCATCAAGCCGCGGGCGGACTGCAAACGCAGCTGACGCGACAAAAGCCGTAAAAACCCTAATTAGCTCCGTTAACATTGATTTCTGATAGGCAATTAAATGGTAAATGAGGGTGCTGTGAAGGCCTTTAAAATATGCAACAGAATAAACAAAGCGCACTTTTAATGTGTGTGCAGGGATCTTAAAATATGTTCATAGTGCAAAAAACCAATTAAAAAATTACACATAATAAACGTAATGAATTACCCCATGAAACAAAATACATAAATCCCAGGAGTAGTATTTCTGTAGAACACTGCAAAAAAATATTTGACTACTAACCAATGGAAAAAAAATCAAGACAAAAATAATCACCTCGTATTGAATACATAGCCCCACTTTGTGTTTCTGTACATTTTTGTTCAGCATTACAAGTTATTCACTAAAAACAAGTAAATGATGACATGGAAATGTGAAAATGCATTTCAGGAAATTGCTTTTCCCCTTGAGCTAAATGAAGAACAGCATCTCACTGAGGCAGTAGATATCCGTACAAGGACTCTGGTAAGGTGATCCAACTGGCCAGGATATTAACCGACTCCAAACCTGGTCAGGAGCAGCACCGTCTATCCCGGAGGTATTTATAACTAACTGCCCCCTTTTTACTAAATGACCCACTGAAGCTTTTTAGAGCATATTCAGACTGTGTGTTATTATCTGTACAGAACGAAATAGCTTGCTAGCTGCATACAACACAAAGCTGCGTGTGAATGCGAATTAAGGCCAAAGAACTTCTGTGTCTATCTCATGAAGCAATGAGACATGTGCAGGACCAGCATCACAGATATATATATAAAAACCAACTGCTTTAAAACCATTGAGAAGGAGCCATTTGTCGAAGGTCCAGCTATCTGGCTGGGAAGCAGGATTGGATGTTAAGGTGTATATTTTAATCAGTCCAGTCTGAGATTTATGTACATGCTTACTTCCCCCCCCCCCATCCCCCCAAACCCCCCCCACCCCCACCATGTGTGTCAGCTGAAAGGTTTAGCGCCTCTAAAAATGTTCTTCTGGGAGAATGAGTTTGTGCACATCCCAGCCCTGCCGGCGATTTATCGCTGTGCTTAGAAACGGCCTTTGGCATCTGCATTCCAGCCTGGACGTCAGGCCCCTGTCTCTACCCCTTCCAGTTCCTGGTGTGCTCCACACGCTTGGGCACCAGCCTTCCACCCTCACATCCCGCCATCCAACCAGCTTCCATCATTCTGTGTTCACCTGCGTTCAGAGAGTGAGATTTTCGCAGCATAGTGTAGCTCTTTATATGTAATGTATTTAACAGATGCTTTTATGCAAAGCAACATACATTATTTTATTTGAAAGCAGGGTCACTCTGTCCATGGGGGAATTAGGGGTTACAGGCTGTGTTTAAGGGCACAACAGTGACATCACTCTGCAGACCCTGGGATCTGATCTAACTACTTTCTATTCGCAGGCACAACATCCCCATCCATATGCATATGAGCATCTGACAATGAACTCTTGAATGCTGATGAATATCCAGGATGTCAGAAATTCATCCGGAATCCACACAGTCAATGGCAAATACTTGACTCTTCGTTGTACTTTGAATCTCCCTCCCTGTGACCTACCGTCGACAGCACGGAGAGGACCTGGACTGCAGCTTAAGTTCTAGTAATGTGTGTATATAGACGGTTTTATAGGTTTACATTCCTATTCTGGGAGAAGCTTAGCTGTAATACCTAGCCAGGATTTTTACCTGAATATCTTCAGTAAATCTGTAGCTTTAAAAATGTATAATATTAACAACGAGAAAAAAAAAACTTTAGGCTAAGGGATTGATCCGAATTAAGAATTTAATATCTCAGAAGATAATATTGAGCTTTTCGAGTCAGCTATCGCAGATTACCACCAGATTCTTATTCAACTTTAAAAACCTCAATGAGTGTATTACTTTTAAGCATGTGTACTCTTTGGTTGATGTTCTCACCAAATATAGTATCTAAAGTATCATTTTTTGCTCTGAGACTTCACCCTGGCTGACTAGGCCAGTCTGGGACTTGCTCTGTTAGACGGCTATGATGTTCCCAGTGGAAAATGACTCCTGTTCATCTCTTCCAGTTTTTGGACTAAGCCAGTGAGGTACAAGATCCAGGTTGGTGTCTCAAGGTGACTTCAGCCTTTAATTCCAAAGGGCATGTTTGCAACGTTGTACCTAGAGATAATGGCCACAGGAGGAAGGAAAATGTTTTTTTGTTATTTTTTGATAGGTCACCATTCAGATTCTAGAGGGAAATTCTGTTTTGCTCTTAATGAAGATAATGCTTCTCCCCTTTTCAGTTTTAGAGATGTCCTCCCTCTCTCTGCCATTGTGGGGCAGCACTGAGTCTGGGCCTCCTGGCTGTAAAAACACATCACTAATTTGCTGTGTCTGGAATATACCAGCAATAAGTCCAGGATGCTCCGCTGTATAAATACCATCCAGTGAAACGAGGAAACAGAAAAGGATTATCCTGAGGTCTTGGGATCACAGACAGCACCTCATCCTAGGGGGGAATAGATGGGGGCAGAAGAAAGGCTATAATTCATGCATAAAGGCCAGCCTTTTTGTTAGCCAATGATATGTTTTGGTGCGATGACTGGCAGGGGAGGAGGGAATCCTTGGGCCAATCAGCTTTGACATGGAGCCAGTGCTCCGGGGCCTCACCCCTGTATATACCCTTGCCACATCCCCAGCCTCGATCTGGGCAGAGAGACGGAAATGAAGACACGGCCATCAGCTGCCTCTTCAGCGCTTCATTTTGCCATTGTGCTCATCTGTAGGTTTCATTTCTGCCTCGTGCTGGGATACTCAGCGACTGCCGGCAGTTAATCACGGAACGTTCCAGTCTGCCATCCATGGAAAGAGATAAAAGGAGAGAGGGAGCTGAGGATTAGGCGGCCGCCAGCTCTCTACTCCTTGCAAGGCACAAATGCAGGCCACCGATCTCAGATATCGGCAGGCGCGAGCACCCTGAGCATTTGTGTGCTTGGTGTGGATCTGGAAATTTCTTTTCGGCCTGGAGAACTGCATTATGGGTAGACGAATTCTCTCACAAAAGGTGTGGTGGTGAGATGAGCGTGCTGGGCTCATCCCGGCTGAGTGGCCTTGCGAAGCGTTATGCTAATTCAGCATCTGCTCATGCATCAGCATTCTTAGGACCTTGATATGAAAGTGTTTTTTCTCATAAAAATGTATTTCATATTGTGGTTATCTGTTAAACTGTAGCAGCATATTAACCCATTTATCCATCTACAGGCAGCACCGGGCTTGAGGTAGGGGACAGGGACATCACAGGACACACACAGTCACACACTGAAGGTGTCCACACACACAGGAGGTGGGACTCAAATCCAAACCCTAGAGGTGTGAGACAGATGTCACACTGTAACTATGCAAAAACTTCCCGCATTTACTACAGATTCACCTTAATAATAACCACATAAATTAACTTTTCTGGAACTCCATCAGGAGTGAAATATCATTATTCGCTTCTATTTAAGATGGATGCTTTTGAGCTTTTCAGTTTATATAATGGGTTATTTTTTCTTTTAACATATACAGTATAGAATTTTATTTCATGTAAATTCAATAAGTGAAAAGTAAAAAGTGAGCATTCTCCATCTTAATTGCACTCATACATATTTTCATGATAATAAAATCAATCTTGCTACTGTGATCACATTATATTTCAATTGACTCACAGGGCAAATGTTTAAAGAAAAACACAGATAATCTGGTTTTGCCCCAGCAAATGTATCCCTATGGTCTGGGTTTAGGCACTGGAACAGCCCTCTAAAGCATGGCCAGGTCTAAGGGTAAACTGAGGAGGACACGCCCCCCCCCCCAAGATTTTCCTTTTGCCCCTTCGTGGAGTTTTCAGCCAATCACAAAAACTTCCTTCCTGTCAATTCAGTTCTGATTGACCAGGTTGGCTGTATAAAATCAATACTATTAATAACAAACTATAAAACAAACTGCTTTTCCCAGGTCAAGCCTGCCTTTTACTAGGCTTTCTGGAAATATTACAGCCTAACAGCACTACAGGTCTAAGACTGGCAGATTAAGCTTGGGCCTGAGAACCCACAGAGTGTTAAAACAATTGTGTCCCGGACAGCAACAGGCTAAGTGGTGAAGATAACGAGGTCCCACGTGAGATGTGCAAGACACTGGCAAGATAAACACAAGTAATGCAGCACTAGGAAAAGACTCCAGTATTGGCCGTCAGGTTTCCACACTGGCCCAGATGTTTCATTGCCCGCGTTCATCTGTGTGGGCCATGTGGGAGGCACCAGGAAGGTGCTGGTTTGAATCCCAGCCGTCTTGTACTCCCACCTGCGCATAACTCAGCTCAAGGGAACTTGACTTTAACTCCCACATCATATACTTTCAGCATCAGAGAAAACCTGTGCAGATGGAAAACAAACACAGAGGAAGGAGACCTTAACGGCAAGTTTTTCAGAGAACGAGGGAAATACACTTCCTCAGACTGTTCACTTGAGTTCTCAATGTGGTCGATTCGGTCCTGTTTAGGATCACGAGCTGGTAGTTACAGAGCAGAAAAGTTTGTGGAAAGATCACATCAAACAAAGGTGAGGAGGACTCCACATCCGCAGGAAGAGTGGAACACGATTTATCTGTTTATTTGTCGTAAATATTGTCTTTCCAGTGATTTGCGATGTTACTTCTTCAGGTCAGCAGCACATTCGTGAGACAGATCATTAAGGGTCACCTTCGACTGGAAATAAAAATGGCCCGGTTTAATCACTGCTACGTGACACCTTTTAAGAAGGAGAGTCTGGAGTAGTTATTAATGCTTAAAGAACATTTCTACACACCCACATCTATAAGCATTTATATACCTAGGCTTAAGATTAATACATCCTTTCTCACCAGTAACGCGTTATTTATGTAAGACTTATCGGCATATGCAAGTGATTGGCCCGTGTTTTAGGTGTTGGCCCTAATAGCTCAATGCAGCGTTTTTATTGGACTGTGCGTTAACCATTAACTGTATTGAAGGCCACCACTAGGTGGCAGGGCTGACAAGAATACAGCATCTCAATGGCAGACGAAGAAAAAATAATGCTTGTATAATTAATCATAACTTGGGGACATCATTAGGAATGGGCAAACAGACAAGATGGTTCCGAGAAAGGAAAGTATCTGTTGAAATTGAATCCCCTTCAGTCTAGTGGAAGAGGCAGCCAGTCCTAAGGAATATTTTCAGTGCCAGAAGTGGCAAAAAACTGTATTGTCTCATTAAAACTTATTTTAAATCACTTTAAGTGGATGTCTGTGAGCCACTCTTTCCGGTAGCGCTGTACCGGGAATCAGTCCGAGGCAGGGAAACAGGTGTCATGATGGAAACTCAAAGAAAGGCACTTAATAGCCTCGCTGTTTCTGCCCCAGCTTGGATCACCCGAGATCATCTGCCCCGGCTTACAGTGCGCTCTCCTGCTTCGTTTTGAGTCGTATCTCCAGGGCCGATAATTCATTTTGTACTGTCTATATGAAATTTTAATGGACAAACAGGAAACGAAAAGTGGGACACGAATGAAATGCATGTGTAAATGACAGTTTTCAAGTGTCGTACTTCCATAGTCCAGGCACTTTGCATTCCGATGACAGTGATGTAATCATTATATCTATATTACAGAATATGGTTGTTCAGATTTGTAAGAACACGTAGACCTACGATGAGATGTGTTTGGTTAAGATCAGACCCAGCTCAATGAGAGATGAAAATGTTCTGGAAATTACACGTAATTCATTTTGCTACAGCATCACCTCTTGGGCATCTGAAAAAACAGAAGCGGTGATTAACTAAACAAATCATGTCAATAAAGCGATTAGGGTAGATTAAAGGCAAATTAAAGTAGCCTGTTTGTGGATTTCAAGACTGACCTTCGATAGTTCTATGTTATTGTTATTGTATTGTTAATGATGTGTAAGTTTGTGTATGTTTCTCTGCATGTTTCACCACTAGAGGGCACAGGCCTAATATTGCCAAATAATGACTGAAACGTCTACACAGCCAAACTAATCAGCCTCAAAAGAGCATATCCAAGAGCTGCACAGTTACAGTTTACCTTATAACGATTTCATTGGGTAGTTTGTTACGTTTGCTCAGAGTTAATTTCTTCTACTGCCTAAACAGCAAGTTAGTTGGAGGACATATTGGAGTACAATGTATATTAGTCCTATACATGGTAAAGCCCATGTCTGAATAACACTTCTGTGTGTGTGTGTATGTGTGTGTGTGTGTGTGTGTGTGTGTGTGTGTGTGCATGTATGGACAGTAGATTAGAACTGTTTTTAAGATGAAGGATATAAATAAATTCTGTTAGAGCCATAGATAAAAAAAATATTTTATATATGTCATTTATTGTACATAATCCAATAATTTAACATTTTTATTTTTACAGTCTTATTTTGTTATATTTATTGAATATTTTATTGAAGTTATGATAGTATCTGTTTTTGTTAGCAATACTGTATAAATTGAGACCCCTACTGAATGTCGACAGGTTTGGTATGACTCCGTCTTTGTGGAAAGACCCATAGTCACGTGTAGTTTTGGTTGCAATAAGTAAGTTTGGTGTAAGGAAGGATTTTGAAAGTGTGGAGCAACACAGTTTTTTGATCTCAAGCGGGATCTCAGTATATTCTCCTCAATAACGGTTATCTTAAACACATCTTGAACCACTCACTATGTTATCAGTTGGTGCAGGATTTTCAGAGCAATCTTTCTGTATGTTTTGCTGTCATCTAAGCTGTCATGTGAAGAAGAAGCTATAGGAAGAGATACTGGGTAGTAGCTTGTGTTATTAGTAATACTTACCGGTCTTCCGTAACCACTTATCCAATGTAGGGTTACAGTAAGATATCCCAGCAATGACCCCAGATGAGATGTCAGTCCATCCCAAGGAATGCAGTGTCACACCATGGGGAAATTAGACACACGTAACTGCCTGTCTGCTGCAGAGGAATCCCACATAAACACATGGAGAACATGCAAACTCCACAACAGGTGGAGGTAAGACTCGAACCCCCACGCCTGGAGGTGAGAGACCACAGCACCATGCACTGAGCCACTGTGCAGTCCGTGTGTGACCTCCTGTTTTAACATCTTAATTTTTTAAAAAAGTGAAAAAAATGTTGTGCTTATACAAAAATTGTCATGCCTTTCAAAGACAACATTAAGACCTGACTTAGGGATTCTGAAGGATAAAAAATACATGGCATCTGTCATGTCCTGTATCCCTGACCCTCCTGTCTCCTCCCTCCCGTGGCCCCGATGAGCCTCGCCTGGTGCGTGTTGCCCCTCATTAGTCTTTGTATATAAGTCCCTGTTTGCTTCGTCAACCTCAGTCCGGTCATTGATGTCGGCCTTTCTGGTGCCTGTGCCCTCCCTTGTTCCAGTCCTCCCTTTTTGATCCCTCGCGATCCTGTTTGTTTCCAGCTTCCAGCTATTCATTTAGTTCAATAAACCCCCGTGTGTCTCATCACAATGCCTGCCCTTGAGTCCTTCGTTCCTCGAGATGCGACATTATCATCTTTAGGTCCAGGTAAAAATAGGATGATGTAATATGGATGTGAAAGGAACATCCAGTCCATCATCTTACTGTTCATATCTAATCATACTTTTGAGGATTTTTTTTCCAGCACTGAAGTGACTGAGTCTAATGTGTCGGTACCATGATGTTTATCCAACATTATTGCCTACTTCTGATTTGAGTATCAAGAGAATGAATTCCATCAGAGCAGAATTTACCTATAACCCATAACTGTAACTCAGAGTCCTGTGTACAACGAACAATACTATTTGGCAAATTTGTCCTGTCCCTAGAAACAGTCATATACTGTAACACAAGTAGGCCTAATGCAAAATAACATTATTATTGTGATTATTATTACTATGACTATTATGATTTATTACTGTAGCACTGGTAGGGCGCATGTCCCAGCATGCCCCACGTGCAGTTGTAAACAGCCCTTGTTGTCTTGTTGTTAATGTTAATGGTTACATTCCTTATTGTTGCGCACGTGTTTACCGGTGTCTTGTGTGTACCCCGTCAGATCCCCGTGTCTATTTAGCTTACGTAAATCTCCCTCAGTGTGTGTATCTTGCAGTTCGGCGTCTGACAACCTTGTGTTTCCTTTGTGTTATTGGTTCCGTGCTTGTTGGGTGCCTTATATAACCCTTTTCAGGACCGTGTAAATTAAAGACACGCTTGCTACATGATCTGGAATCAACCCTGACAAACTTATTAGTAGCACACAAAATATCCTCCTGATACCCCACCCATTCATTTATGTCCATTGTAATGGACATTTTGTTTTTGCATCTATCTTTTCACTGATGTAAGGAAACGTATTTATTCCTGTTGTACACTAAAGAGGACATGCTGTGAAATTAAAAATAAAAAAAAAATTGAAAAAATCTAAATTGTAAGATGTATTATTTCCTCCAAAGACAAATAACCTAAAATTGAAAGACACTTTTTTCCTTGGGTCTCAGGAGGATATAGTAGGATTTCAGGTACAGAAGTAACGCATTTAATATAAAGAACCGTTACGTTCTGACCGTATTCTAAACTAGACATACTGCATACTCGAGTCTTGTAACTAACTCAGCACTTTTAATACTGTAAATCACCACACATAGTTTCTTAAAATATTTGTTTTATTGTTAATATTGATTGGTGCTCCCCAAAGTAATATACTGCGATACATTTTGAAATCGCTGAACAGAGGTGGAGATCAAGGCAGTTTTTAGCTATTGAAAAAAAATCTGTGGCTAAGTCAAGTTTACCTGGGCCTTGACTTTTTTTTAATTGAAAATAATTGGCATCGGGGATAAAATACTCGGGGCCCCGAGTGATCGGACCTAACGACGCCCATGGCGGGATTAATCCTTGCGTATTATGTTTCGGGAACCTTTTCCTTACGGTATAGGCTAATAAAGGTTTCACAGAGGTAGCATAGGTTAAGTAGTCTAAATGTGAATCGATCAGAGACTTGAAGGAAAAAATTAATATATATCAATTTACAAACAAGAATAACTATTTTTGTGCTTGCCAGCTGATGTAACACCAATAAACAGGCCCCCGACAGTCGAATCCTCCACCCGCAAGGGAGGGGTCCTAGCTGTTTGTAGACTTTACAACGGCACTTTAACTTAGAGCTGAGCTCACGTTAATGAAGCAACAGAAAACAAATTAGAAACGATAATAAGAAAAAAAACAAAGCGAATTACTATGTTCCCGTATAGTTCTCGTTGCGTATATGATCATATTCTTAAAGTTTACTTTGCAGTGCTGCTGTTTTGCGCATCCTCTGTGGAAAGTCAACAAAGAGGTGAGTTTTCTTATAACTATCATAAGTTTTGGTGTATTATTATGTATTGTGTACATAAAAAGTGGTATAATGTACCATGTCATGATGTGTAACGTTACATTATGACAGGAACTGACTGAAAAGCTCTAGACAAGCAATTTGCGTAGTAATCTATCCCCATTTAAATTATTGTTTCACATGGTTTTTTATTGTATTTGGTTGTTCGCATTTTATTTAATAATTTGATATATGCCATTATTTCTAAATGAAAAAAATGCATCAATCCCGGTCTTCAAAGTATTTAATGCTTCCGGAACATTGTTAAATTACTGAGCAAAACGTTATACCACGCAGATTTCGGAGACCTGGTGTTTTTATCAGTCACATAATTTCAGTGCGCAAATCGTTTTAAAGTCTATTTTTTTTATCTTGTTCAGTCCATTGAGCCGACTGCAACAGTGAGCCCGGACCTTTGTTTTCTTCTGTTACTTTGTATCCACTTACAGTAAGCTCGCGGTCTAATTAAGCAATTGTTTTAAGAGATGCATTTAATGGTTCAAGAGAAAAAACTCCTCCGGGACTTTTTTCCAGCACACGTTTGTGGTGACCTGCCAAGCGACGGTGCAAAATTAATATCAGGACCTGCTGTCTCCTGATAACAAGGAAAAGGAAATTAGCGAAGTAAACTTTACAACTTGCAATATGAAACATTGTTTAACGGTTATACTAGCAGACTGGGAACCGAACCCAGGATTGTTGTAAACTGGTTACTTTCAAATGGCACCTTTATTACTTGTGTATATAATAGGTGGCAGGCACAATTACACTATAAGAGATTTTTCACAATAAATTACATTCTTTCAAAACGTTGTTTTCTGTAGGTATCGCCGTTGTGCCGCACAGCGGCAGGCAATAAGCCTACACAATCTAATTACCGGGAGGCAATTTGGCATCTGAAGGGTCGCTGCTGTTTTGATCCCTGTCTGTTATGTCTAATCTTCTCTAAATTGGTAGCAGCAATTTCCCTTTTGAAATTTCGGTTCATAACATTACGGCGCCTGACACTACAGAACATCATGTTGTGTCTGTATCTGCATCCACAGTGCGAAATTGCAACGTGTAATCCAGGGGTTAACCTGCCTTGTGAGGCGGCCTTTCAGAGCTGCCACGGTCATAAACGGTACACGGCGCTACTCTGCACCATGACGCTCTCAGAAAACTGGACCCCTGGGGTCTGTTAAGCAAGAAACACGACAAAGGAACCGAAGGAGTTGAAAATTAGCTAGATGTTCTTCCCACAGTCACCTTTTCATTTAAAGCTGAAACCGTATAGTTACTTACGTAACTTTTATTCAGTAAAGTTAATGGACAAGTTCGTAAATTCTTTCGAAAGACCAGGCATGGTTAGCATTAATTAACACATTTTGCTTGTGATTTTCTTTAACTTATAATGTAAATAAGCAGAGGGTAGGCTATCTAACATGTTAATCCCGATGTTATGTTTAAAAGACTAACATGCCCAACAACATAAAGTTATATTTGTTTGTTTTTAATGTAGCTCTTGGTGTCAGAGCCAAAAAGCATGTCAAACAGATTCACACTAAATCCAGGAATCCATTTTAAAAGTAACATATGCTAATGAGGTTTCGGCGCAACAACCCACTAAATAATTCATTTTTTGTCTTTCCCAAATTAACCCAGACAACATACAGTAGTAGCCCCTTCATACTGTCAGATTTTTAATTTTTTTTTACTTCTGAACATGTAAAACCAGGCACTCATCTAAGTTTTCCAGCACAAGACAGGAGCAGACCATGGGGGTGTAATTGAAGGGAGCTCGGGGTGTCCCAGAAGGTGTCAAGGAAGTGGGCCATGTCCTCTTCCGTCCTTGTACACTTGATCTGCAGGTTATCCCCAACCAGCCACATTAGTAATAGCCGTGGGAATCCAGTTTCCCCATTACCTCTGCCTGCTGCTAATGGAAAGTTTAGCAGCTTAGACGATGGTTATATTCAATGCATCTCAAATATTTTTTCCATTCATCCATACTGTAACTGTATAAATAGCAGGACCCTGTCTGAGGCAGCACAGGACCAATGAAGGGGAAAACCCTGAATGGGACATCAGTCCATTACAGGGCACATACACGATCACACACTACAGGCCAGGTAGAGACACAAGATTGCATATCTGCATGTCCTTTGACTGAGCAGGAAACCCCAAAATGCAGAGGAAACTTGTAAAATGTGGGGAGCATAACCTTACACTGAGCCTGGGCTGGCGTTGGTATTTTTTCCCTTAAACCCTTGGATACCCAACCTGCTTAATAGGCACTAGGAGAAGGTCCATCCTGAGATGGCCATTTGGGACAGCAATCCTTGTTCCTTATCGATTTTGCTTCATCCAGTGGTCTGGTGACTAGAGAAGAGGAAGCTAGCAAACGAGACACCTACACTGGCTCACCGAACCAAAACAACCACCATGAAGGAACATGAAGAAGACCTCGTAAGCAATGCAACATTCAAGACTTTTCAATGCTCCACACTTCAATGCTACTGACACAGGTGCTCCTGTGGATATAGAGTTCAGTCTTTATGAACCCAACTAATGGTGTCAGACAGGAGCGCAGGGGACCAGTTAATATTAGAAGCTGAATTATGTGCAGTACCCCACAGCTGAATACGGTGGCAAACCGATGCCGTGTCCTTCAAAGTCAATTTTAAAGTCCTTCTTTTAACATCTGGCTCCTTTCCTCAAGACGTCCTCCTCACTCTGACCTCAATGCATTCGCAAGATCTCTGCCAGTAGGAATTAATGCCTTGTCACTTTTGCTGGCTTTTAAAAATGGATAGAAAGATCTTCATATGCTCTTACACAGTCCTTACTGTGGTGTTAAGCCTACCCAGTCTCTGCAGGTTTAGAAGAACTGAAGATTTTGAAGCTGTGATGGCTTTGGTTATTTGGCTTTTTCGTGGTTATTGCTTTTTATCTTTAAAATATGGGCCCCATCATTGTCCAATGACCCATTTCTCTGCATGAAGCAATTAGGGGCAGCTGGGTGTGTCTTCAGCTTCTGCTTTAACTCCTGGCCCTTCAAGTGGCTTCTCAAGCATGGCTCATCTGACAGTCAGTTAACATTGAGTTTCAGGCTAAAGAAATGTATGTGATGCCCCCCCCCCCTGTTCGGTGCTGAATGTCTCAGTGTGAAGAGTTCAACGATTCTTTTAGACTAGGAAATGCTTGTTTCTTTAATTAGTAGTGCCTTTCTCGAGTGGTTTGCTTTAAGATACGGAAGGGAGGACAGGAAGAAGACGAAGACTGTTTACTGTGGGGTTATGGCTTGGCCTCAGAGGAGGCTGTGTGAGATGTGGTTGGTTTAACCATCAGAGGTGTGATACTAATGTAGCAATGGAGCAGAGTAAGGAGGTGAACCAAAGATTCCCAGCCAGTGAATGAGAGACCCAGGTCAAGCACATCAGTTTTCTCGACCACAGAGAATGGACTTTTAGGGTATTACCAGGGGGGGGATTCCTTCAAGGATATTCGAGCCACCAGCTCACCTTCATTCATGTTCCCTTAGGGCTCTTCCCGTCCATCTTCAACCTCGCCAGCATCTCCCAGATATCCACCAATGCCACCTGCGGTGACCTGGTCCCTGAGACGTACTGCAAGCTAGTGGAGCATGTTCCAACACGACAGATCCTCGCCCGGCAGTGTGGGATCTGTGACCTACACAGCACCAACTCAGAAGGTACCAGCCCTGATGTAAACACCTTCGATTGCCAACTGAATTCTGATATGGTCTTAACTGATTCTTGCCAGTAGCAGGAAGCTTTAATACTGATATTATATATGTTACATAGTTCATTACATAAATTGTCTCCGATGAGAACTCCTGTTCTGTTGGATGTGTTTGGCTTGTTACCGCTCCCAGCCAATATACTTAACTCAGAATTACTTTCACAAGCACCCAGCTGTCTAAAACTGACTAAAAGCACCTTGTGCGTTAACTGAATTACAAGTCTGGAATGAAATGGTCTCCCCGATGGGCAAAAACTCTTCGAGCTGAAATTATAGCCACTCCGTATGGGGTTTTGTCCAAAGCAAATTACCTGCATTTTACATTTCAGAATTTATACATTGTCAGAAGTGTTGTTAGGCAACACCTGTCGACTAATTAAAACAGCAGGGCTCAGCCTGGGACTTTCACTCATAATCTTTTAGCTACAATCCTGTGTCGTTTTCTACTACATAATCCGCCGTCCTGATGATAAGCTATAAAGCAGTCAGACGATGTGCTTGGAATTATGCTCTGACCAATGTGTTGCTATGGGAGACAGAGAGGCATCCCATTACCAACGCCATCGACGGGACTAACGCTTGGTGGCAAAGTCCCAGTATCAAGAACGGCAATCAGTTCCACTGGGTGACCATCACTCTGGACTTGCGACAGGTAAGACACGGTGCAATATACACATACGAGTTACAGCAGATGGTTTAGCTACTCTCATACTGCTCACTGTTCAATGGCGCCATCTTGGGGTGGCATAGAGCCATCTTCAGTCAGCCTTCTTAGAGTGAAGTATGGCTCATTAATAGGCAGTCTAGTGGGTAGCACAGTGACCTCACACCCCCATGGAATTAGGTTTAGTTTCATCTCCTGGCTCTGTGCCAGTGGTCTTTGCAGGTTCTCCATGCGCCTGTGGATTTCTGGGAATTTGAGTTTCCTTCCACAGTCCCAAAGCATCATAGTTAGTTGAAATGGTATGAGTGTATGCCCTACAATGGTCAGGCATCCCATCCAGGGTGTCCTCTACCTCGTACCCTGTGCCTGCTGGGGTCAGCCCATGCTCACTGAGACCATGGATAAGAAAAGTAGTTATGGAAATTAGGAATAATACACCTTATCTTCTCATTCTCATTCCCATTCAAATTCAAATAAATTCTATACAATTTGGTATTGTGTTGTATTTCTTTAAAAAGCTTTACTGATGTCTACTTGTGATTCCTGTTACTTGTGAAAAGGAGAGCATAAGTTCTGCATTCGTGTGTAGATTTATATGATATCATTTTGAAATGGCTAGTTTAAAACAGTCTATTGTGCCGTCCTCCTTCCAGAGGTCGCTTGCGCTCATTAGGAAAAGGGGCTGTCTGTAATGCTGAACCTTCTCTGAGCTGAAGCCAGTGGCATCGACTTTGAATTCAGATCGAATTGCTTGTTAGAGGCGAGAGGGACACAGGACCCGCATTTCTTCATCTTGCCACCGAGACTATTAGCTGAACAGGAACGGCGAGCCGGTCGGATGGTCACGCGGACTCTAGCCCACTGAGGTGTTCAGGTTTAACACGACGATAAACAATGTGCTTTAGAACATCACAGATAAGCTTTGGCAGAAGTCGCAGTCTGAATCTGGAGGAGCCTCGAGTGAAGTTAGAGCAGGTCAGTGACGTGTCTCATCCAGAGGAAGTGCCAAAAACCCAGAAGTAGCTGCCAGGATGTGCTTCACAGGCGGTGAGATACAGGATTGTGAGCCTCAGGCGACAGGAGACTCATCCGGGAGGAAGGACGGCGCAGGGAGAGTGTATGACCTCCAGCTGCCACCAGTCTGAAGGTCTTCATCTAGCTCTTTCTGTCACCACTCATCCTCGGTGACTACGACGTGGCCCCCCTTCTGGGGGAAGCGGTGAAATGAACCAGGAAGAGATGGGAAGGAGTTAAACAGGGGCCTGATTAAATCAACCCCCCCCCCCCAACCCAGTCTGCCACTGACAAATTAGAAACCCAGACGTGACCGTCGTTTCCGTGGTGATTTCGATGTCGCGGCTCTCATTTCGGAATCTGGCACGGATCAGCGGCTCGGCCGCTTGAGATGAGAGGATGGCTTCGCGTGCCGGATCCGACGGGAGAAGGTGGGTGACCTTTTCGGGAGAACTTGGCGTTAATGACCGCGGACGTGGAGGCAGGGTGGGCCGTAGCTGCCAGGAGCTCCTCTGCTGGGGAGAGACACACTACCACTCTGAGTGACTCCTCCAAATGACTGTTCAGGCTGTTCCCAGTGGGGAGGTGCGAGACCCCGAAGAGTCGCTGAGGAGTCATGCATCATAGGACACCAGCCCCTGATCCACTGGATGGAGTGACTTAAAATTCCATGTGACAAGTACCTCTCTACATTGCTAGCCGAGCACGGCATGACTCAAAGCACTTACAAAGCCAACCAGAATGATCTGTAAAGCAAAAGAGAGCAGAGTTCTAGAATGACCTCGCACTTTCACTGATATGGGTTTGATTCCCACCCACCAAAATTTGAGGAATGTGCATGTTCCCCCCCATCCAAAAACATGGCTTGCTATCCCAGTCCCAGCCTTGAACCCTTTACTATCAAGGATAGGTTCCAGGTGATGCTGTACTAGATATGTGGTTATGTAAAATGTAAAATGCTTTGAAAATAGATGGACATGTCTGTATTCCTTTTTGGTTTAGTTAACCCCTAATGTATAATGCGGAAATATTACCCTTTGCATCACCTACACCTATATGACATCAAGGAAAAATCCTTCTGATTTTCTTCAGAATAAGAATCAGATTCATTGGCCAAGTGTGTTAAGGTAACACTTTTCTTAGCAAGTCCTGTTTCTGAGATGCTGAGTATCTCAGTTAATAAGATGTTTATTATCTGGCTGCAGGCCAAAGCCTTCCCAGTAACCAGTGTCCGTAAATCCAACCTTTATCCAGGAAAAGTCTCATTTAACGGCTGAATTACATTTATGGAAAAAAAATGCTTATTGATGCTTTTTGTACAGAATGATATACAGTACTGTGTGCGAGTCTTAGGCAGTCAAAGAAAACAATGTTTAAATGATCTTCATGCTGGTGTAAAACTATGACATGTCTGTAAAACAACATCAGTTTAGCCGTTTTAAAACAACTCCAAAAGTCACCCTTGGATTTGCAGCAACCATCCAACACATCCACCTATTTCTTAGCTTGACTGCTAGCACACCTCGTGCGGCTAATCAATGCCTCACTGACTTTTTTAACGAATTAAATTAATTACTGACGTGAGCTGGTGGTGAAATTTAATGAATACCTGGAATGTCTGTGTTGCCCGTGAGGAGAGGTTTGGGAGCTGAAGCGATGTTCATCTAGCCATCCAATAATATATTAGTAAATTTTAGGAGAACAGGTTAAATTTTTGTTCGTTTTTATTGTGTTATTCTTAATTTGTATCTGTTCTAATGCTAAACTGTGTTTTTGTTCTGAGCAAATTTACATTTACTACCCAGATAAATAGCTTTAAACATTTCCGTTGTCTTCCTAAAACTTTTACATCACACTGTATATACAGATATTTTGTCACTGCCTTTGGATTAAACACGGTTTGCATAGTTTGCATGGAATAAAACGTGATTCGTTTATGTTCATTGATACAGGTTGTGCACTTGGATGTCCTAATTCCCAGTTAAGTTCGACCTGAATGGAAATAATTCTTTTGACATCAATCAAACGGAAATCAGGCTTGTGTGGGATCTGCAAAGACATCCTACTGAAAGCACATGCAGATATATATTAGATAGGTGTCATATAAATAATTAAAATATTACAGAATATTGGCCATCTCCTCAAGTGTTGGACACCAGAGCTTGCTGCAGCCTCACATGGGGGGGGGGGGGGGGGGGGGGGGGGGGGGGGGGGGGGGGGGCGTGTGGGAGGGCAGCAGGGAGTCCCAACCACCCCCTGATGAATTCTGCCTTGAGCTTGCTCCTGCTGACCCCTCCCAGAGGCGTGGGAAGAGGTATCTCTTAGACTTGCTGGAATCTGTATTTCTCATTTGGGGTCTTTGGGGCAAAGCAAGCATGCAATGAGGCTCTGTACTGCAGTGAGCCCTGGTGTGAAGGGATTCCCTGTACGACTCCGTGTGGATGAGTTATTTAGCACTCAAGATGCTCCCCTCTATTTTCATAGCATTCTTGCTGGAATTCTTGCCTTTCGTTTCACAAAATCATTGCGTATGTTGCAATGAAAATGGAGGGTAACTTTTGCAGCATTTACCCATTGGCAAAGCCTGCACGGCACGTTGATCTGAACAGAACTTTGCGCAGACGTACCACCCTTTGAGATTATGGTTAGAAATACACAGGTTCCCAGCACGAAATTCTTATCTCTACAGTGTTTTTTGCTTGTTTGTTTTGTTTTGGTGCCAGTGCTGCTAGCCAAAGCTTCCAGTGGTTGACCAGAAACAAGTATGAGATATTAGTGGGGAAATAAAACCTCACATCATTTAATATCCCTCCAATAATCTAGTATGTGAAATACAAGAACACAGAAGAGCACATAATAGTGTCAAGCAAGCCATCATTTTTAGCGATTGATTAGACCAGGGATCCCTGGACAGTGGAAGTCTGGGCAGTTTCTCTGCATAATGTGTCTAATGACCACCTTCCCGTTTCAGCTTTTTGCAAAGAACGCAGCCTGTTAGCAGCTTAAAGGAAGCTGCAGCTCTTACTGATGAGGACTGTCACCACTCCTCATAAATTAGACTGTGGAACTCTTGTATTCTGTAAAAATTAGGTCAGTCACTGTCTCCATTACTTCAACGTTAATTGTCGCAGAGAATTTCTTTCTATTTCAAGGTTAGAGGGCATTTTCCCGGTCATGGAAGAAGCGTGCGGCAGATATGTTTGACTTTCTCAGCGGTTTGTGCATTTGTGGGCAGTGGAAATGGGTGAATAATATATCTTTCAAACAATATCATTCAACCTTAGCTGTCCCTGATGTGCTGCACAGCACATTCTGAAAGAATATCACAAAACAAGTAATTCAAACATTTGTATCATTTGTATTTGTAATTTTTTCATTCTGAAAACCTTGCATTTATGTGAATGTGTGTAGAATTAGACATGATCACCTGACCAAACACCAGGCAACAAAATGGAGATTTAGTGGAAAACCTTTTATGATTGTGTCTTGACTCCTGTATTTGTCCAGGTCTTTCAAGTGGCCTATGTTATTGTCAAGGCCGCTAACTCACCGCGACCTGGAAACTGGATCCTGGAGCGATCTCTGGATGACATTGAGTATCATCCCTGGCAATACTACGCCATAAGTGATGCAGAGTGTCTGACTCGCTACAACATCACCCCTAACACTGGGCCTCCTGCCTACCAGCAGGATGACGAAGTCTCCTGCACCTCTGAATACTCGCGGCTCGTCCCCCTGGAGCACGGAGAGGTATGTTTGGGCCGGCACCGTGGCTCATTTTCCCAAACATCCTTGCTTGAACGTTGGTTGTCTTGAGTCTTGGGAGACTTTACTGTAATACACCCTCAAGATGCATTGGTGGGCCAGCCAAGCTGACATACATGGAGCCGTTTTGCACTTGAACTTGCACTTGTCTCCCAAAAGCCCTAAAATACTCTCCATGTCTGACAATGATACAAAAACACTCGAAGCTAACAAATAAGTTGCAGGACATCCATGCTACCTCAATCCTTTATAAAAAACCTGGTGAAACTCTGTTTCCAGGTTAGTGTCTAGGGATGCATATTACTGGTACACAAGTACGCATTCACCTTTAACAGCGCAAACGCATACATATTTTATGTGCAATTGTGCTGCTATGACGAGAACTGACAAGGCATTTTAACCTTTATGATGTACGAATTAGCGTATATAAAGGTTAAAATGCACGGTAATTTTTTGCTCTGTTACAACAATCGATCTCTGTACGTATCGCTTTTAAGGTGAAATGCGTACTTGTGTATCAGTTATGCGCATCCCTGACCGTATCTTTTGCTAAGTGGACCAGACTTTTGGCATCTAGTCATGGACACCCCTTGGGAAACAACTGAATGTTATGTCAGTCCTTTAAATTTTAAGATTCTCCCCATTTTATAAAAACTGCATAATCCTTTGAAAGTAAGGGAGCCGTGTTTCTTTACCTGTGCTCCTTGCATTTGGCTTATCCATCAGATTCACACCTCCCTGATCAATGGGAGACCCAGTGCAGACAACCCCACCCCCGAGCTCCTCAAGTTCACCACCGCCCGCTACATTCGCCTGCGGCTGCAGAGAATCCGTACCCTCAACGCTGACCTCATGACCATCGCCCACCAGGACCCCAGTGAGGTGGATCCCATCGTCACACGGCGGGTGGGTGCGGCCGAATTGCAACCACCAATCATGCTTGGGGAGTATATAGTCCGCGTCTTTCAGGCTACAGCAATTGTTTCTCATTATATTTTTTGTGTCTGATGTTATGCTTTTTCAAGCAACTAATTAATTAGGCTTGTTAAGATGGTTGTTAATTAAATCCTCACCATTAATTGTCAGGGTATAAGAGCATGTTTTTTTACAGGTTTAAAGCAATTTTTATTTTTTTGTTACAAATATGTTGAAATACGTGAGTAGGTGAATTGATGTCTCTCAATTGCCCTTTGCCTGTGGTTGTGTGTGTGTGTGTCTGTGTGTGTGTGTGTGTGTGTGCGAGCGGGTTTACCTATCCTTATGGGGACACAATGTCCCCATAACGTGATAAATATCTGTTTTTTTCCCTTATGGGGACCGGTTTCCTGGTCCCCATAAGGGAAAACTCTATTTTATAAAAATCGGTGACTGTTATGAAAAAACTAAAAATGCAAAAACTCTTGTATTTTGTTA